GTAAAGCCAGCAAATCGGCCTTAAGATCTTTAGAATTTCCCTCTGTTCCTTTGTCATCCTCATCTGTTAATGCTGTTGGTATTTCAAATCAACCTGTTCCACATCCTGTCACAAAACCTCTTTCTGTTTCACTCATGTTCATCTCTGCTCAACAGGCCTTTTTACGTAGACCATCGTCTCCTGTCAATTTACTGGGACGGCATCTTTTGTGTAAATTAGGCTGTACAATCGATTGGACACCAAATGGTGTATTCTTACAAGTTCCTAATAAAAATGCCAATCTGGTGTTAGCTACTTTACACACAACAGGATCAGCTCAACCACATGCAGCTTTCAGCCATGAGCTTGTCCACTTGTGGTCAGAGACCCTCTTCTCTCTGCTCTCGGCATGCAAATAAGGTGGGGCAAACTCAAACAGCCGAACCAGATAAGAGCTCTGTGAATCCTTCTAAATCACTTCCAAGGGTCCCACAGTACCCACTGCGCTCTAAAGCAAAAAAATAAGCACCAGTAGTAAAGTCTTTGTTACAGCAGGGTATTATTGTTTCTACTACTAGCTCTTGTAATAAGCCCATTTTCCCTAGTAAAAAAAAAATAAAACAACCCACATTGCTTTGTTCAAGATCTCCGCGTGGTTAATGCTGTTGTTTTCCTTAATTTGCGGTGGTCCCAAACCCGGCTACAATTCTTTCCTGTATTCCCCCTACAGCCACTTACTTTACTGTTGTGGACCTTCCCCACACACAAATAGTGTCAGCCTTGTGCCCAAAGCACAAAGGTTGCTACCAGTAACGATATGAAGGTTACATTCAAAAATTGCAGCCGTGCTCCTTTGTACAGGCAGTGGCGGCCAGAGGCAGAGCTGGGAGGGAGTTTTATTGCTAGAAAAAGTGGATTTATAGATGTCATAGAAACTTCTGTCCGTTCTAGCTGAGGAATAAGGAGAGACGGACACAGCTAGCCAAGCAAGGAGCCCCGGGAGGGGCGATCCGTTTATTTCAATTGCAATTGGGTTCGAGCTCATAAGTCAGCAAGAACAAAGAAAACACTTACACCAAAGCATTATATGCAGTTGCTTATGATAATCTATCGCTCTATGATTGGCCAAAATTTGCCATCATTACCATACATAATTAGCAAGCTACATGTATCTGCCCCTCTTATGACCCCTTATTGTTCATCTATTTGCCTCCTCCTCCTTGCTTATTTTGCAACCCAAGCAGTTAGCTATCTACAGGACGCAGGCACAGAAAGGTCCATTGTCTCCAGGTTTGGAGTTTGGCTACATTTCCTCTCGAAGGAACTTCCTGACTACCTATAGCTAACCCTGCATTTTGTCCTTCTTCTTTCTCCCATGTGTACGTGACAAATTTGCCCCCTGGCAGTTAAGTAGAATAATTTTATATCATAGACAACAAAACTTTTCAAGGACAGATTGGTTTCAATCAAAGGTTTCTCAGGCCCAATTGAAACCCACTAGTAACCCAGTGTTTTGGGCACTCACCTCTGCTGTGGAAGACCCAGGTTCAAGGTCCTGCTCTGACTCCCTCCAATGTAGAATGGGAACAAATTTGAAACCCTCCAATTCTTTCACAAAACACAATCAGTTTCCAGCCTGATTGCACTTGGAACCTCCTTATGCAAGGGGCTGTACAGAAGGGCTCATCGCTTCCATTTTATTCCTGATAAACAGCCCCTCATTCACAGGGGTTTCCTCTCTCTCCCCCCACACCAGGGGTTAGCTGGCATCTCATTACCTGATCCCCTTTGGAAGCAGATTCACACACATGGAAGGAGTTTAACTGCAATAAGGAAGGTGTGCACATAGTCACATTTAGATGGAAGTATTCTGCTTCTGGCATTTCCCCGGCTGCTAGCGCTCTGCATTCCTGCACACTGGGGTCGGTCTGGCTGTTCACCTCTCCTGCCCCGGCCTCAGAAATGGCTAGATTATCGATTCAGACAGGACCACTGCGAGCACCTCGTCTGACCTGCGTAACACAGGCCACAGGTTCCCTGAATCAACTCCTGTTGGAATTGGAGCAGATCGTTTAGAAAAACCTCCCATCTCGATTGAAACCGCGTCAGTGATGAAGAATCCACCACAATGCTTGGTGAATGGTTCCAATGGCTAATTACACCCCGGTTAAAAATCTGCCCTTTTCCCCAGTCTGAATGTTTCTAGTTTCAGCTTCCAGCCACGGGCTCTCCTTAGACCTGTCTGCTTGAGGGACTAGCTCATTATCACAGTTATTCCCCTGGGTACATTGAGACAGGGATCACGGCACCCCTTAACCTTCGCTTTAAGAAGCTCCTTGCGTCTCAGCATAAGGCAGGTTCCCCCCCTCCCCTGCATTTAATTGTTCTCATGGCAACTCTCTGCCCCTCTCCATTTTTTCACCTTCCTTCTCGAATTGTGGGCACCACCTGGCCATGGCATTCCAGCAGCTGTCGCTCCCCGCCAGACACAGCGATAAAATAACTTCTCCGCTGCTTGCGATGCCCGTTTATCCATTGACCAGGCGCCACCTCCCCATTTAAGTGCGGACACTCGTCCCTTTGGGCTTCCAACTCCAGGCAAGTTCAAGTACCACTAATGGCAGCCGCCGCCCTCCCTCCCCCCCAGCCAGATCCCTGAACTCCTTGGGCCTCCAGGGAGAGGAACAGCTCCTGGCTCATCACAGCAGCGACAACTGTCCCCTAGAGCCGAACAGCCCACACGCCAGTCTGATTTTATTTTTTAAACAAAACTTTATTGGTAATTGTTTCAAATATATTTACAAGAAAGCACACTGTTAAAGAGGAAGTGGGGGCTGGGAGGGAGGGTTGTTTTCTATTTCTAGTGAAACGGGTTTTGTCGGAGGACACAGACGTGTTTCCTGGGGCGGGGTGGATGATATCCCCACCCTCTAGATGGGAGTTTCAAGCTTCTTTGTGGGAAAGGGGAATTTTGGGGGGAGGGCCACTGGCCCTAGAACTCATCAAACTCCCTGACGCACTCCTCAGTGACCGAGACCCGGATCTCTTCTTCCTCGTAGTTGTCGAAGTTACTCGTGTCGCCCAGGCCTTTGCACTTTGGTAAAAAGGGAGCTTCCACCTGCAAAGGGAGGGGAAGGGGAGGTGTGACGTTATTGACATAAACTGGGACCATATAGATCATTGTTGCAACCAAGGTCCTGTAGT